GAGAAATTATTTTCCCATTTCGCGACCTCTGATCTCTCCTTTTCCTTTACTTCCCCGCCATTGAACACCGCTCGCCGCTTTCGACCTGTGTGATCGAGAATTAATCGGCGACCGTGTGTCCGAACACGAAACAGTGTACTACGATCTTGAAAATAAAGATGTTCTATCTCGTGATAACTGATAAGGAACGATCGTACTCGAATGGATGATTGATTGCTGAGAAAATTGTTTAATTTAACGTGTAACAAAGAAAGAAGAAGAATATGTGCCACATAAAATTTTATAGGAAGTTAAGTAGAAAAAAAAGGCAGAGAGCAGCGCAGCGTGTTAGCACACCGATACCGTGTCGCGAGGACATTTACGACTAATTGCTTCTAGGTGGTTTCTTCGTTCGGAATTTCTCCCCTCGCGAGCTTGGACCCTCTCGTAAAAATTGTAGGAATAAAGGAAGGAAGTGTACACGGACGGTGCTCGCAATAAAAATTCGTCGCGTCGAGGGGCTCGCGTTGCGGAAACTTCGATAATGGCTACTAAAATTCAACTAAACGTTCGCGAGACGCTAATTGCCATCGTAAATTTCTTTTTACCTCGATCGACTGGCCGAGTCATTCACACCGAGACAAGTCTCGTTACTCTGGGAAAATTATTTATTCAAACGTGACTGTTTCTTTGATTTTCTTCGTTGCTTTAAATAATGTCTTTCTGAATTTTTATTGCAAGACGAAGATATTCCTCCCGAGGGAACGGTTCATTTTCATTTTTAATTCCTCCACCTTTATTCCGTATCGTTTCGACCTGGAAATCGCCCCCGAAACGATCGTTTCGTCGCTGAAGAAAGCGCACAACCGTACTTTCTTTCGATCATTTCGAATCTCTCCTACAAATTCGTTCAACTGCTCCTTCGAGGTTTCCGCGGATCGATCCGTTCCTCGGCGTGGAATCGAAACGTGAAAATTTCATAGAATCTCGCATGGAAATCATGGATTTACGTGTTAAATGTAATTCGTAAAAATGCGAGGAAAAAAGTGGCGGGGATTGAAGAAGTCGTTTAATATTGAGAAGCTTTCCGTGAATGCGGATAGGATATAAATCCACGCACTGCGTTCTAGCAGGTAATCCCGATTATCCTGCGACTCCCTTCTTAAGCACTCCGCTCTGCGAATATTCAATTAGGCTAGATTGCAAAGCGGATTTCGTGTCGTCGTTAAAACGACTGTCGTAGCGGTGCACTAGCTCGCGTAGTCTCTAAAATATTCTTACTCGGAGATCCTAAAATATTGTTGATTCATCACTTTTCGGATAAATAATTAACATCCCTTTTAGGTCGCTCGAAATTTCAAGCTAGATCCATGAGATTATGTCGTTGGGTTTAACTTGTGTACTCACGATAAATATAAATATTATTTTTACGAAATTTAATTCTTAAACTTTTGATATTCATGATGCGAAGCAGTTGTCTTCGAATCTTCGATTCGGGACACGGAATCGAATCGAAATCGCGGCTGCCAATGTAGACCGGAAGGGAGGCCCTTTGTAGCAATCCCCGGTAGGATTTAGCTGAGGAAGTGAGTGGAATAGAAGAAGAGAAAAAGAAGGCGGAAGGGAAAGAGAAGCGAATCTCTATTTTCGCAGGCTCGCACGAAGGCCTTTGAATAGACGCGATAAGGATCTTATAACCATGCAGGGGGAGCATGGATGGATGGCGGGGTGTTGTGAAATATAAAGTAAACTACCTGACATTGTCGCGATACGAAGAGGCGCATCGTCGCTTGAATATTGATGCACCGGCTTCCGAAGGGAAGATGAAAAGGGCGGCCTGCCTTCGTTCTGGCTTTTTAATAATGAATTCGGCCCTTCTTGCTCACGGATTTTCTCGAACCTTACCCACCCTTCCTTCGTCGGGGGAGAAAAGGATTGGTTCATTCTTGTTATTTCAGAAAAGTCAATGGGGTGCACGGGAAGTTCGGTTAAATTCAGTTCTCTTCGTGTCTACTGTTTTCCTAAATGAAAAATTCACCTTTCGTCGCGATTGATGAATGAAAAAGCGAACGAGATACTTAATACTTTCCTAAAATGGACGTAATCGCGTCAAGGGCTTTAAAAGCCTGTCCCTAGAACCACACTTCGAACCCCAGAACCCGACTGATAGGCTTCGCCGTTTCGCTAACGTGATTTCATGTCGTCGACCTGACGATACCGGCAACTGACGGTCTTCCGGATTGGTGAGTAGTCTTTTTTACAATTCAAGCTATTTATCAACACGAAAACGTCTACTCTTTAATAAAATTCAAGAGTGTGTTATTTCAGATTTGATCTTTCATCAAATAAAATAATTTCAAAATTAAATACACGGAAGGGATTCAAATGAGGATACCAGATTGATTCATACAAATTTTTGCCGCCAAAAATGATATTGCAAAGGCGTTTCCACGCGTTGTACACTAAGCGGCACCTGTTGGTGAACGTAAAGTTCTTCTAGGCTCGTTTGAATCGATATCACATCTCGATGGTAAGAGAAAGGTGAACGTTTCTCGGTTCTAGTCTCAGCTACTTCAAGGTTGCTTCAATTTTTACACAGACGCTTTGTAATACTTGCAATTTTATTACACAACTCGGCTATAAATTTTAGTTCTCATTAAAAAGAACAGATGCTACGCGTAACTGTAATCGAGCAATTAATTTTAATTAATATTAAGTGAAAGGTACAAAAACGATTCCGAAGTGAAATTTCATCCATTTCCAATTCTTTCTAAACTTTCGAGCAACAACGAAATATGCATCGAACTATCACCAGGCTATGAATCATCAAGATGAAATCTCAACGCTGTTAATCATTATAATTGATCAACGTTTCGTTGAACGAGTCAGTGGTTCGGGAACAATGAAGAAAGTACAAAAATCGGGTGTCTGATAGGAAGTTTTCGCTTCGATTGCATACTCATTGTCTCGTTTCGAAAGTTTCGACACGGGTGACAAGTTCATTGGAAGGAAAACTCCTTCACCAAATTCTGCGCTGTCATTGACAACATTACGGAAGTGGCTGATAGTTTCTTCGGTACAACGATATTCTTGATAGCGAACTGGCACGCTCGACTAGCGATGTAGGTTCGCGGTTTACGCCAGGCCACGTGCGATTAATTTGATTATGTAACAAGGAAATAAGGCGAGCTAATAAGCGGACCAACGTGTCGGGCCAGATAATCCACGCGCGTTTTCAACGGGGGTTGTTTTCAATCGACTACTCGTTCACCTGGATTTTCAAACCAGTCGAACCGGACTGTGCATTTTGCACAGACGAATTTTTTTTTTTTTTTTTTGATAGTCGAATTAGAACGGAAGTTAGCCTCGTTTGTTTATCGGTGAAAACGAGTTACAGCGAAACGCGTTGTTCCGCGCAGAAACGAATCCACTTTGGTTGCGACGGATTCGATGAAAAACGCGAGAACAATCCGGTTGACGAAATTTTGCAAGATCAAAACCGGTCGTTTACTTATTCAACGGGCTTTCCGATAAATTCATTTCGCGATACGAGGGGTAGGTACGCATGGCGTACGGTAATCGATTGGCCATTTGTTCGACAGACTGGAAGCTCGCGATACCGATTGTCGGACACGGTAAAAGTAGCCGCTGATATAACGGAACGAGCGTGTGTGTACGTGTTCGAACAGCTATGGAATTATGTGGGTTTATAGTCGAGACACGAAACACCGTCTGTGATTGGGAATTGTTGCTTTCCCTCGCGATCCGCGCACGTATCTTCTGTTATTAACCCTCCTCGCCTTCCTACCCCCCTCTTTCTCTTTGTCCCTTTCTGCCAACGTAATTACGTCAATTTCGCGTGATTGTATAGATTCCGTTTCCGGTTTATCCTACACGCGCGCTGATCTTTCTTAAACAGTTGCTTGAAAAAGAAAATAGGTAAAGGAACAGGATCGAAGGAAGTAGATAAGTACGGTGTTGGTCAGACACAGGTAAGGCGGTCTCTCAAGAAGAATATTCATAATTAAAACGTCAATCTATCTACTCGGGCAAAGAGTAGCTAGATCTTAATGATCTAATGGACGTATCTCGTTAATGATTTACGAAGGGAGAGATTAACTGTGCTGATTCAGCCATTAGCTTCGTTGGACGTACATCGGCGACTCGGTTTTCCCGCGGGACCAAACGAGGCATTAACGTTCCCCGCACGCTTTCGAATCTCCTGCCAACATACCTAATTCTTCTGAGCTTCCTGCGATTCTATTCCCATCGGTAGTGTCGTCGATGTTGTCCGTCCAGTGTCTAGATTACTCGTTTCTTCGCAATTTCCGGTTTACTTAAAGCGATCGCGTTCTAGAAATCCCAGGTACAAGTATAATAGATCCCCGAGGTTTTACGTTTAATCACGATTTTATATATCAACGATGATTACGAAAGTTCCAAGTAATATGTAGTAATTTCGATAGCTCGCCATTCGAGGTGAAACCGCGTTTGATTATAACGAGGCGCGTCCATCGAGAGGCTCTCACCGTCAAGTAATTACCTCTGATTATCGGAATTGGATTTGCAAAGATCACGGTACGGTACTCGTTAGCGTAATTACGCGGGACGCGTGCATTAGTCCGGCGCAACGATCTATGAAGCGCATGCAGGAAATGAATCCACGGCGAAATCGCGATTCAGGTCTGCTTGGCGAGCCGATACATGATCAAGCATCGATATGACAATGTGTATCAATAGACTAACAAGTAATGTTAACGTTTACACCGTAAAAACTACCCCTTTCGCAAGCAAGATCTTCTGAACTCCCACGTTTCGATGCTGTAATAGAGATACATTTTCTAGTGTCCTCTAATGACATAACGTTTTGCAATCGAAGGATCGATAATGATTTCTTCAGATTGTTTCACGATTTCATGATAAACTGTTTTTTTCCTCGATATCCTCGAGACAGATTGAAATTTCATTACGTCCTTTCAACGCTGTCGATTTTGCTCCATTATGTAACCTGTTACGAAGTATTGGGTTCAACAACAAATAAAGTTTATTGCGCCAGTATATATGGTATATGTACAATTGCCGATATTACACTATTAGATCTACGTTGATTAACCGTGACCGGTGAACGGTGCTTGATTAACCGTTCTGTTATTTCACCGCCCCCGCTTTTCGCATCCCGTTTTCAAGTGCAGCCATGACTAACCTGGCTGTGTAACGAATCGATCGATCGATCAAGGTATGACGTAATACATCAATAATCGTATCAAAATGATTTCATACTCGGCTCAGGAAATCGTTGAAATCAACACAATGAATCTGTTAACAGGATCCACGATCAATTAATGGTACAAGTATGATCGATGCTTGATTTCTCGGTTGTCACTCGATCGACTGGTCTTTGCACAGATCGTATTTCATAATCGACCGTGCTACGTGACTTACAGCAGAAAGTTTCAGATCTAAGCAAAGTGTGAACGTGAATCCGTATCTGTGTTAAGTTCATCGATTTCTATTATTGCGAGGAGAATAATCGAGTGAGATTGAAAGGTATTTTCAAGTTCATCGCGGGGATTGCACAATTGCAGACGTAATAGACACTTCGGTGGCCATGGAGTCATTGGCATTGAATAATAAAAAATTGATAATTCGGTGAACAACTTTCAATACTTTGTGAGACTTAATAGATAAATTAAACATTATGGTAATCTATCTTACTGTATACGTCCATTTTCACTGCGGCGTTTAATGTGCGAATTGAGGTTTCGCTGTAATCCTGTTTAGTAATATTGATTACAATCTCGTAATCCTGTACGAGGTATCATGCAACTAGTTGTAAAAACATAAAAGGACAAAATAAATGGAACACCTGTAATCAAATTTTCTTCCATAGAATACTTCCCTTCAAGGAAGTGAATTTTTAAAATTTTTATAGAAGCTGTCTTTTAGTTGATACCACCATTTACGAGACGCCTTGAATATTAATAACATATATATTAATTAGATATTTCTGTTCGTGTACGTTCTGTTATTCGCACTTGAAGCATACACAAAAACGAGTGCAAAATTCTTGTTTCCTAAATTGATCCACTGATGGATTTTGCGACTTTTCGACGAAGATTCTTAACAAATCTTCCGGAGGACACTTTGCGATGCTGTAGGTCCGTAGGTGACGCAGCTGCCGCAAATAGATGCTCATCTACCCTTTGTTACCCCCTATTTGTAGTAAAAGTACCTGTAAAAAGCTGTAACAAAAAATTTCATATACATATTAATTAAAACCATTTAATTATCTTTTGAGTTTCTCCAAGACATCAGAATCGTGTAAACATTTAACTGCGCGAAAAATCTGTTGGAAACCCTTTTAGTACCTCTAATCGACATCAAATTTCCTCCCCAGAGAGCGAACAAGCTTCCCAAATAGCCAGTCGAATACACCGCAAGCCGGCAAAAGCAAACGGACCCTCGATTTCGTCACCAACGCGCAAACTTTCTCAACCCGGCTACAAGCCTGTGTCCAAACAAAAGTTCCTTCATTTCCCGAACTCCCTACCGCCGGATTCCCCTGCAGGGTTATCCAGAAAACCGAAGGGACGATATTGATTTTGATAAGAGGAGCCAGCGGAGTCTTCGTTTTAAGTATTGATTTTAAGAAAAGGTCAATTCTGTACGTCTCCTCGAATCAAAATTTTGCCTAATTTCTAACTGAGTCAATGGACAACTAGCGAACTCCAGTTTCCGCGAGTAATCGTCGGAACACCTGACCGTCTGTAATGAGAAGTCGGCCCCGGGACCACTTCAAAGCTGCTAATTACACGACCCTCGTCACCTTGGAGCCATTCCCATCGACCTGGCCCTCTTCGTTTGACTGGTAAGTGCTCGGTTTTCCGGCAGCGCGTGCACATCGGGCCGACCGCGACGTTGACAATAAAGTTAACCAGAATGCGGAGGAAGGGAGAGGGGAGAAGTTGGCATCCATTAAGCGGTCGAAAGGGTTGGCTGGAAGCGTTCGTAAATTTTCGCCCCTTTGGGACAGGACGTCTTGCGTCCTAGAGCACTCGTTCCAAAGGAGGGTTGTTTCTTGATGACTTCTTTTGTTCCAACGATTGGATTTCGAGGTAGCCATTTTCGGATACGAGCAAATTTTCATCAGAATCGATACAATCAACAGCCAAATCATTCTCCGAGAATTCACCACCCTTTCCAGGAACTTGTCCTCGTTTCCATCCCGTAATTACGACCCTCCCGTGCAATTATTTCGCGCGAACGACACCCAGTCGTCCCTTAAAAACCTCAAGGAGGTTGGTTAAAATGGCGCGGAACAACGTCGTGGACGATCCCGATATTAACAGCAGGCCGTTTCATCGCGGATATTAAGGAAAACGAGGCGGCAAGCGGGTCAGCTTCCACGCGGCTGAATTAAATTATGCTTTATGCTCGTTATCTGGCCGCCACGCGGCGAGTTAATCTTTCGAATTATCTCGATAGAACAGGCGCACCGTTCCCAGAGTGTTTCGGTCTCTTTTAACGCGTTTCTTACCCCCGACGCGTTAATCACCGGCCATTCTGCAGATTTACGTTCCCTCGCGCCGCGTTTACGTGCATTAACGAGCGTGAAACGCTCGAAAAATAGATTCTGACCAGGATCATAACCGACGCAGCCTCCATTTCGCGCTGATTTATTTTCACAGGTTAGCTGCGACGTTTCGTGATTATCAGGAGCAATGTTTCAGAGTCTGGAATCTATGTATAGACAAGATTTGACGTTGGAGTTCGTGACACTCTTAATAGGTTTAGTGAAACAAGAACGAGATTTAGAAAGTCCAAGGGAGTTTCATTATTTTTTTTTTTTTTTTTTTTATTTCAAGTTCCTCGAGTGCAATACGGTCTCACGCTCTGCAATACGGCTTTCAGTGATCCTATCGTTACACATTCGATGGAAATAATGAACTATATATTCGTGATTGTTAGACTGCAACAATGCGATTGATTTTGAGATAAATAGATCAATATGCGTGGTCTTGAAAATGAAAAAGGTAACGCGTATTGTGAATGAGACTTTCTAAAACGACGAACTTGACCGTGGACGAGCAGATCGTTGATCTCTGGTCAGACATCCGATTTTCATCGCTTCAGCGAAAGAAACGACCTTGCCATCGACCCGACTGACCTCGTAACACCTGTTACGCCTCGCAAAGTAGCTCAAGTTAGGTTACGCGTAAACGAGTTTAAGTCACGAGGCGAATGAAATCACTTTCACTGACCCCCCGTCAGGTTGTTTCGTTCCTGTAAGTGGATTCCAAGGCTGGATCTTCTTCGCGGAAACCGGTACTCCTCTCTCTTCCTCCACCTGAGAGTCTGGCTACTCTCACTCTCTCTATTTCCGTGTCGAACGATCGAGGATAATCCCTTAGCGCGATCACGTGATTTCCGCCGAATTTTAACCGAGAAATCAAGCAAAGAGGAAAATCCTGCCGACGTAATCCCGGAAGAGGAAGCCTCCGCTCTTCCGTTTGCACGCGGATTATTCTACCGTATGATTTATGCGAGACGCTTAAGCGATTCGGTATTTTTCATTCGTTGTTTCCGTACCGCAAACGTTTGAACATAAATTTTCAAACTGGTAATCGAATTCGTTTCGAAAAAATTGTCTGATAAAAGAAATATCGGAACGAGTGACTTACCTGCGTTTTTATATTATTTATAAAATATTAGTGACACTTTGCGCAGCGGAGACACGACTGCGATGCTCGAGTCTACTTGTTAGCACGCGTTAGCACGAATTTCATTAGCGTATGAAAAAGTGACAAGTTAGTGTTCTTGTACCTTGTGTGTTTAGCGTGACTGGTTATTCGATGTTTGTTTAAACGATTACGATCTTCCGCTTTGTTAGAGGCGAGGGGACAGGATAGTCGTCCTCGACGGGTTCACGATCACGAACCGAATGGAACACCTTTCATGGAAAGGATCCAAGGATCGTGTGTGACCTTCGATTCATTCCAGGACCCATCGACCAAAATCAGATGTATATCTATCGATCGACGAAATCAATCGGTAAATGATGTTTAATTTTTTTCAAATATAATTAGAAATTAGGAGAAGGGTGATTGGGCGATCCGACGCGCATGACAACAAATAAATAATGTTTTATTCACAAGTTAAGTGTGCACATGTAGCGGTGACAAGTGCCAGGGGTTAGTGTCATCCCCAAAATTATTCCTCGTCTTTGGTGAAGATTCTGTTACAAGCAAACTCGTTGGCTCGTTGAAGCGTGTGTGCTCTCTTAATTTTCCCCGTTTTGCCTCAGAATCCAATCGACGATTTACCTGGGTTAGGTGGCACGAATCCGTATCCACTTGCGCCCACTATCACTCCGCTCGTGTCCGCATTGTTCGGCGCCGGACCCGGTGGGAACAACACTGGACCTGAGAATAATTAATACGATTAATTTCGAATAGACAGAAAATAGACAAATGAATTGACCTGCTTGTTACAATTTCCTGTATAATGACATTTTAACAAGTTTATGAGAAAGTTGACACCTTTCTTACCGTATTATATAAGATAAAATGTAGATAATCTTTTCAACTAGTGCAACCTGTATTCGTCAAGTACCTAGAAGACTTAATTTTTTTACAATCAGTCAATCAAGAAATTTGAAACTGGTAAATACAGGAACTTGCTTTCTCCCTATACTTATCTCTGTTAATATTTTAACATTATTTGATAAGTTGTCATCATTTTTCGAAAACAGTATTTTTAATTGATTTGAAGTTAATTAAGAGTAATAATTAACGACTGTTTGTACAATATTTGACCTAACGAGTAACTGACTTTCGTTTTTTGTATAATCCCTTTCTAATTACACTTTTGCTTCACTAATAACCTTCTCCAAACTATTCAAGACTATTCGTGCAATCTCTATCATTACTCATCAAGAGGTTGATAGAAAATGTCGAAATCATATTTGGCATTTCCACGCAAGTTATGGATTATAACATGAACTGATAGTGACAAGACGTGTAGGTATGAATTATTGCATACTAATTAACAGTACAGTTCAGAGTTGACCTAAGCGACTGATTTTTCAGCTCGTATCACCTTACAGAATGATTTCAAACTGATTAATCAAGCCGACATACTCGAGAATCGTTCGATCAATGACATCTTGCTCAAATACCAAACGTCGTTCGTCAACAACTTCGTCGTTCTGTTTTCATATCAATCGACTCGGTTCAAGACTCCTTTGGAATTTCAATCGAACATAACATATGCTTCCCACGAAAGGATTGACGTTTATGAAAAACCAACAAACATGTTCCAATCGAGCTCGTTAACCGTGCGTCAAATCGAATCATCGTTGCTTAAACGATCAGTGCATTAATGAAATTTATGTTTCTACGACCTCGATGATCGGTTTGGAACGCGATCGTTCGTTGATAAATTCTGATTTTTATCGAAGATATCCGAAAAAAATGATAAATCAAAGCGAATCGTTCCGGAATCGTGAAGTTCTTTATGTTGAAACTTGAATGAGCCTTCACGGTTGTTGATCGAACACGATCGAGATCGATAATCGGTACGATTAAAAAAAACTGTTACGATCGCTTTACTTGTTCCATGCTCGGTTGGGTTTTTACGACGATGTTCGGCAAAGTTTCGTTCTATCACGATTAAAAGTAGTTTCATAAACAAACGCGATATTCTTGTGTGACATTTTCTGACCTTTACGGGTGAACGATCTCGTTTTGTGAATCTTTATGGCATATGGAAGCTAGCTTTGACAATAATTCTTTGGTACTCAATGACTATTAATGGAAAATACCAAGAATCGTGAATCATCGAGTACGAAAAACGCAGAAACGAAATGCAAATTATCTTGAAACCATAATCCCGTCAGAAATACTAAACCACCTGTGTAATCTCAACAACCAGTAGCAGCAACAATTGCTCCTCAAGGTGAACAAGCTGGAAATCCTTTCTAATCGGGAAGTAATTTTGCTGATTATTGATTATTGATCGCACTAATGCTCGCGCGATGCTGTGCATTAAAGGTGCAACAAACTCTCTTCTCGACTCCTATCGTTGCACAGGAAGCACTTGTGAAATTCTAACGATGAATCACCGACACTCGATCAATTGTTCCGGATAATTAAGAAAAGGTGAACGACCGGTTCGATCCTATCTCTCGATCTACGTTACGCCTAATTATGCAACAGTAGGCATCGACACGATTTTTATATCCCATGCTTTTCTCCCTAATTATCCTGCATTACCGAGCAGAATAAATCGGCGTTTGCTGAAAATCGGAATACCACGAAAGGCCGTTTAATAATAACAGTGCAAGTCAGCATTTCTTCGGTAACTCGCTGATATTTATTGCCGGAGAGTTTGAACTTGGCATCCAGCGAGGCTCGCGTATCCTGTTTACGTGTGCATCGACACGTGTTTCAGTTAAATGTCAGATCCACGAGTCAGCCTTGAATTTGAAATGGAAGACAGGAAATAATACCTCATCTTCCTCGACTGCTCTGCGGTCATTCGAATGAAAAAAAAAAAAAAGAAATAAATGAGAATTCCAAATGAGGTGGACTGGAATAGAACAATTTCAGATGTGTTTATAGAAGTCCATTAAAGAATAAACTAAAATCGATCTTCCATATTTACAAGTAGGAACTTTCCTTTTCTTTCCAGTGTATCATAGTAATGATCGCCAGCTGTCGGCAGATTTTAATCACGTGTTCATAAACCTGTTTCAAGTACTCGTATAGTTCAGAGGAGAACGATGGATATCTGGCAGAACTCCTTCTTCCTCGTTGATCGTTTCTATGGCGTCGAAAGATAATCTACTTTGCAATCAGCCTGTGCCTCGCCAAGAACGTGGACAGAATTTAATTACTAGGTGAACTCGTGAATCCATTCGCGTCACTGAGATTACTTTTGACAGCGTTCAGATCGCGATCAGAGATTGCCGTGTGAAATAGCGAAGGTAGATCGGAAAGGACGTTGTAGAGAGTGAATCGAAGGTCCTGGAGAACAATGGCGAACGCCATTACTGGGTATTATTTCTCTAAGTGATACCGCAGCTGGTTCATAATTCGTTTCTTAGAAAGGAAGGCGGTCATTTTAAGACTTCACTCTAGCATCTGGTCTGAAATTTATCGTCACTCACCTCTGTTCGATCTCGGATCTCTCATCGCAGAAGTTTGACCCAGATATGGTCCGAATCCTGCGAACAGCTGACTGTAGTCCTGGGACGAAGCCACCGCCAGGACCATTAGAACTAATGTTACCAGAATTGTCTGAAACATTCATTTCTCCCGTTAGTCGATCAATTATTCATCCACGGAGAAATCTATCGAGGAAATTCTCGTTAAAACGCGTCCCTTTCTACCCATTAATACAGAGACCTCTGCAAACCGCCTAATTAAACATACTCGAAGCTAACTTTCGCTGCAAAAGGAACCACGTTCAAAATCAACAACTGAAACCCTTCAACCGTGTATTATGTATCCTTCGATTATAATTTCAATTCCGTCTCCAGAGGCAATCTCCGCCGTTCGATTCGATTCAGCGCCGACCGGAAACAAAGTGACTATTAGCGTCGCGAATGGTGGATAAAAAAACGATTAATCCGATTCGATGGCTTCGTTAACCGAGCTTTTGAAACGCAGCTAACTTCCATCGGATGATTGACGATCGGATCGAATCGCGAGCATTCTCTATTCGAGTATACACGTGACAATTTTTACGAGCGGTTCGTCGGTTAACAATCGTAGTGGAGAATTTATGGACCAATATAGACTGCGAATAAAATCAGCACCCAGGTACCGTTCGTTTAAAACGCAGTTACTTCTCGCTGACGTTTCTATTCGAACAGAAAGTTTGCTCGAGTTTCGCTACCATTCGCCGGGAAATGGGAACTCCTTCGGCGTAGGTTTAATAAATTAACCGGGGATGAATTACGAGAGCAAAGTGCAACGCGAAGGTGCTTTAGAGAACGCTGTCTCGTTAACGTGAGGTAAATTGGCATGATTTTTAATCCGTTTCGCTACGCGGTAGGTCGTGAGCTATAGTCTGTTAGATCTATGACAGCTGTTCGAAATTATAAACGAGAACGAAAGTAGAAATTTTCGTCTGATTGATGCGGTCGAGAATTACTGGTAAAAGTTATATTTCTCTAATTAATGAGTTGCCAGTTTTTTGATTTTTTTTTTTTTTTTTTAAATATGGAATTGGTGTACCGTCATTAATAAGAGGGAATATAAATAATACAGTATGACTAACAATAACGTGAAATGTAATTAGGAATAATATGAAACGAAGTTTCGCAATATCTCTTGTGTCATGGTAACGATATGGATCTGCATAAATGAAATGGGTACTTTTCATTCACTCGTCCTAATAACTGCTAAGTAGGTAATTGCATAAGAGAAACATCAATGTCTAACGAGTTTAAATAGATCTTCAGTCATTCTACTCGACTGCATCAACGTTCATTTACACGTTCTAATACTTGCAAGATCGTAAACGACCATCTCTGTTGGAATTCAAAGCACACTTTCACTTTTTTTATCAATATTTAATTACTCTATCAATAAAATTGTTGTGAAATGTTTCAAATCGAAAGTAATAAATATTCTGCAGACATTATCGTCTCTAAACGAGAGTGGTGACGTAAACTTTTCTCTACAGGATTGTATGTTATGAATTTTCGACTCGAAAATCCGATTTCGAATCGTAAATTTCGCTCTGATATTATTGTAGTATAAGCCTAGACGGAGAAAGGTGAAATTTGAATCTTCACGGTTGATGAATCTTCTCGCTTTTCATCGAGCCTATCGTTACGTAAAACCTGATGAAATCATTATGAGACTTCACGATTCCATGGACGTTACGGGCTTGGGAACGATCGGCGAGCCAACGAATAATTGCGTGCTCAGATCACGCTGATTATTATTATTAAGTAAGCCGTGCCGCGTTTTCATTCTTTTATCGGTTTTCTCGCGTTGAAAGCAAGGTGAACAGAGACACGTCATGGTTATGCGATTTCTTTCCAGCTTGACACAATGTCAAGGCGATTAATTGTTACTCCACTGTGTGAATCGTTGCCGGCAACGATTCATAGATAATATAGCTGTAAATAGTATTTAAACCTTATGAAATGAAACTTAGAATTGATCGGAATTTCTAAGTACATATTGAACTTGATCCCATCGCTAATCGTATCGACCCACGTCAGTTATGCCATGCTAGATTTTACTTGTCACAACTTCAGACGGAGTTGATGGAGCAGAGAGAAAGACAAGTTAACGATATGACCCAACAAATACCAGAGATTACTTGTAGACCTTAATTAAAGATCTCGATCTGAATATGTTTTGCAATTTTGTAATTTCATTCTGGCATGGTTGAAAGAACCGTGCAAAAAATTCGTTAGCTCGCTCTTTACGATAGCATCGTTGTTTTCCTTGAAGCGTACTCCTGCGAGAGAAAAAATGCAAAAACGCTGGCAGGAAGTATAACAGAAACTTGACTCGTGTTTTTCCCGTGGGCTGATCTTCTGTCGATCGCTCGAAAGAATTTCTATAAGGCATCAAGGAGCTTGTGAATCGGCGGGCAAACCTCGAAGGAGAATAACTTGTAGATAGGAAAGCAAGGTCGAGGTAACAGGGCGAATGCAAGGACAGCCTCGATTATCGATACTGCAGCTGGAGGATCGAATGATCAATTAGCAGAATGCATTTGAATGAACCTCATGAAAGAAATAGTTACTTTTCCAATTTACCATAGACACAGATAATTATCATAACTTTCTCCAACGATCGTGAAACCGAAGGATAATTGTGTTCCAAGACTGGAACGTCCTCAGATGAGGAAGCCTTCCTCTTACAACATACGTCAATTAACCGAGTTTGCAAGGTTGTCGCACGCGAATGGTATCGAAGGACCAGCTGTCTGAGAAGTCGAAGAAAACGATTTCGACGTATGCCGGTCGCTAGTGGAAGAGTCACGAGGTGTTCGACTGTAAGGTACGAAGGCACGAGGTCGCCCACAAACCGCGGCACACATGTGCGTGCACCGTGACGACAGATCACGCCGCAGTGATATACCGAAGCCAACGCGCGTCGATAATCACGAGGAGAACCGCACGTACACTTTGGCCGACTTGGCGAGCAAAGACGGTATAATTTATGCGTCGTGTTTAGTTGTGAAATAAATCGTAAACTACTGCATATTTGTCTGGGCGAAACGGTGCAGTTGAAATGACAAGGATATATCGAATGGACGCGTGCTTTGCATTCAACAATTACATAACATATAATTGACGATCATTTTCTATGAATGATGTGGGTGGTCACACATTTGAAATAACAATTTGAATTAACAAACAATACTTTTGGAAACCATGATTCATTCTCTCTTGGAAATTTATTAATAGTTTTTCTCTACACCTTCGTTGAAATGCTTGAAGGTATACCCTCCTCCTTTAAGAAAACAATAGGGTTCGTTCTACTTTAAGGGAAGTCGCTTGTAAGGAGCTCGGGACGATTCCTGAAATTTTTTCTCCTTCAATTCATCGAAGAGATTACGTGGCTCCCCTTCATTGAATGAGAAGCTGAACTAGTTATTGTAAAGTAGAATGGGAAATTAGAAAAGAGTGAAAACTGTCACAAACAACACTGGCACTAGTAGTATTCCTTTATAATTGACAAATTTGAATGATTGGCGTGAATGTCCAGACAACTTTTTTAATGAAAGACTTCTAAAAAAAAGCGGTAACCCATCCTTTCCTAGACTGCTGTCAACTTGGCTTAACATTTATGAATGATTCACTACTATTACTAATGTTACTTTTTTTTCACTTTCAATGAATGTTAAGTGGTAATTAATAACAAATTCACTTTGAAACAAAAATATTAATATTTCCAATGCTATAGAAAAACGCAACCCCACGTGAAGCCAACGTTTCCTCGATTGTTATGAACAGAAACGAACCGCGTTTCAAGTTTCTCCATACAAGATGCATAGCGAGTGCATAATGCTCGATTGCACAGCGAAATATTCAGCCCAAGTACTCGAGACTCGAGTACTTCCGTGTTTAACATCGAGGGAAACAGTCGGTTCCTTCCGGTCCGTTCGAACCAACTTCTACATTATTAATAACGATCGTTGCAATGCAGTTGCATCTGGAAGCCGGATGCGTCGTTGCATAACGGAGAAACACGTCGATAAACGAAAGTACGATGATTTTTAAGGGAAAACGCGGAGAATGTCCGACCGATTAATTAGTCGTTTCAGCTCGTTTCGTAAATGGCTGTAGATAATGAAAGAGAGGGTACCATGGAAAGTTAATTTTTAAACAGAACTGATCCTTCAATTATTTTTCAAGTGTTTCCTATCATCGAGTAAGGAATGCGCGAGTAAATTTTTCCAAAGTCTATAATTTTAGATGACCTCGTAAAACAAACTAGACATTCCTCGCTGACACTAGTAAAATGGTTCATTTGCACCCGTGTCTTTTGTCGCACAACCTGGAATGCACATATATTATGTGCACACGAGATTACACTTGAAGCACAATCGTTACAACACGCCCACATCGTGCTCGTACACAATGCTACCAGCTCCTACTTTTACTTTATGCTATATGACGGCAGTTATAAAATAGTTTCAATTTTTTCGTAAACTTATTTTCTCCTCGTTGCGTTCAACACGGAAAATTTGTTATCGTTTTGAGACAATTAAAAAATTGAAGCAAACAACGACGCGTGGAGCAGAGAAACTTTCCCGCGAGAGATTCTAAACGAAAGTGGAGCTTCCATTGTTTCGTAATCTACGGAAAAGATCTTGAAACGAAGAATTTAAATTCTTTCGCACAAGTGGATCATGGACAATGCTGGAGGGCTGGTAACAGGTGTATCGACGCATAAAATTGATTATTTTCATTATTTTCCAAGTGTGACGTAAGCCGAACTTCCAACGCACGTGTAGAATTTCCACATCGCGAACGATATGATGCACTCGGGAACACAGTGCGTGCGTTGCACCGTTGCACTTGCGTTTGCACAACCTACTAGACGAAATTCGTCTACCTCCTTTTGTTTCACTTTTCAATTTATAATCGGCATTGTAAACATGTTGCAAATTTTATTCATCGTTTTGAAAGGCATGAAAACAATCTCTAATTAATTTCGAGCTACTTTTGCGCAAGCATTCGAAAGCAAGTTTAAACATAGACAGCTGTGATTGCTGTTACAATAGAAGATCCTTTACGAATGGTGTACAGATTCGTAACGGC